GGGGTTTTAAACCTTTCTGTCCTAGGCCAGTAAAATTACAGATGGCAGCCCTAACCCTCCCAGTACGGGAATTCTGTAACTTGCAATCGATGCTTTTCGGTATCGTTAACTAGCGACCCAGTGAGAAATGATCCATCGATCGATGTCGAAACGATATCGATTCGACATCGACAACGTCAAGTTGACGTCGATTCGACATCGTTTCGACATCGATCAACGAATCATTTCCCACTGGGGACAGCCAATGGCGATCTTCGAAAAAGACGCAGATTTTCATTGGTTGTTCCTAGTTAACGTTATCGAAAAACCTCGATAGCAAGTTAACAGAATCTCTTTTCTCGACGCCACCGCGAAAGGGAGGGGCGCCACGGCGCCCTCGCTCGCTCGAGCTAGCCACTTCGCTGGGGCGCGCGCACGCGCGGACGAGGAGAGCCGTTCGCGCGGAGCGGAGCGTACGGCGGTAATTCCTGAGTGAACGGAGTAGGGGCGGGAAAACCCATCAACCTCGGGCAGGGCCAGCTGCGTGGCTGTACGCCATGTAACCGATACGATACAACTCTCGTTTTATAGATAAGGCGGCTACGAAGTCGCGAAGAAAACGCGCCGTCGGCTCGCAAAACAAGATACTTGCTGCGAGACCGTACGGAGGCGTCGCGTTTGGACATTTGAATTTCACGCGATTCGAAGGACCGCCCGACATTTCGTCAGCTAAAATGCGAACAATGATATCGCACAATGTTGACGATACTGTTTTTCAGGATACTCGACGGGAGAGATGCAACTGAACTCTTTGATTCATTATCGTTTAGAAACGCGCCTGTAATCGCAGATCCGATAGATCAGATAGCGTCAAACGCTCCAGGTATTTAAAGGGAATATCCGCTGAGTGTTTGCGCTCGCTGCGGTCGCGTGAAATTCTTCTGTATCTTTTACGACATAGGTTTTTACCGCAGATAAAGCGGAGTGCGAAGGAAAATCCGATATGACGGGACGTCCCGCTCATGATTCGCGAGAAACGCGGAAAGGAGTAGCACGGCGAGCGTCAGCGTTGGATTAATCATATTTTAAGGGCGCTATACGTATAATATAATCCGATCTTATATTTCAGATCGTCTCACGTGTGATCCTGAAATGACTGTCTCGCCAGCTGGACGAAATCTGAAATCATTCAAGACCAGCGTTAAGACGATCTTGTAGCGAATTCGGTTGGTTGCACAGTGCGCACTGAGTGCACACCGGTCGTGAAATTCGAATATACCCAGACAGCACACATATTGTTCTATGAATATTCTTCTGGAGCGGAAATATTCTTAATTTCAGAATACTCCAATCGAATATTCTATAAATATATATATAGATTATTACAATTAGAAATCATGTATTCATAACAAAGAACCCAAACAACACGTATGTCTAAAAGGCATCTTTAAGATGTCTTTAAGTCGTCTTCTAGACATTGCAATAAATAACGCCATCTAAACACATATTCTAATGTAATCGCCGGAATCTTAGCTAAAACACTTGGCGAAAGTCAGTTGCTATTGAACTGCCGAAGGTGACAGACGTGTACAGCCATTCGGCTAGAGAACACTTTTGGACTGTACAAGTATCTCGCAGTGTAATCGCTCTGGTATCGGATTTACTTAAGTACACATTATTGATTCCAATAGTGTCTCAATCTATTATAAATGATTTATTATTGCCAAATCCGCACGAAAGTATTCATTACAATATGTATATCTAAAAGACGACTTAAAGACGTCTTAAAGATGTCCTTTAGACACGCGTGCTGTATGGGAAGAACGTTTTTAGAATATTCGTCGAGAATATTTTTTGAATATTCGTTCAGAATAATTTTGGAACATTCATCGAGTTTATATATTGCACATTGTTTATTGTGTAATACATTTATCTTATGCAAAAGACAGTGAAACCTGTGATTATACCATATATAACCGACACGCTGTATTCGATAGATTATTCCATTCACATTCGAAAAAGATTTATAGTGGTGCCAGTCGAATATTCTACGAGCATAAGATAAACATATAATATAAGAGTGACTTGCACTTTGGAAGTTGTTTCTTTTTGTTTCTCTCAAATACATGTTTTCGTCACATCCCTTTCTGTTCTAACCGATTAAATTAATATAAGTTGAATATAACAGCGAAGCCAACTTGTTATAGAAAGCAATTCTGTTATAAATAACCCTAGCGAGAGCTCTTTTAGACAGAGCCAAGCGAACGAATATAGCCATCAGCAATTTATTATAAAAAGTATTGTAATTCTCTTATAAATAACGCTAGCGAGAACTCTTTTAGACAGAGCCAAGCTTCAGCACAGAGAATCCAAAAAGGATTCTTTTCGAATTCCCGAATTGTGAAATCAATGTCTTCCATCCCCATTTCTACCTTGAAGACGTTCTTAAAGAATTCTACCTTATGTCGCTAATTCTGAGTTTTTCTTTGGATGCAAAGGAATTCTCTTTATACTTTATAATTCGCATCGCAAAAGAATTCTTTCGCTTTTAACAGACCACGCTAATTCACAAAGAATTTGGAAAAGTGAGTTCATTACATCAGCTGTGCTACTTGGCTCGTCTCTCTCCGCTCCATCGCGACTTCACAACAGATAGAGAGAACTTGTCGAGACCAGCTATGACCGCCGCGAATAATTAATCTGCAAAGATGAATAAGGAGTAGATGAAAATGTATACCCATTCATTAAACTCCCTTCTCCGATCTACCCGGAAGACTGTGCCTTCAGCCGTAGGTTTAAGCGAAAGAGTAGTAGCGGACTGTCGAGAGGTCCTACGAAATTCTGGATTATAAATACCCCTGTCATTCGGTCGAGAATGCGAGACGCATGTCGGGAAGCTCGTCCTCGCTTGAAATCGCGATGTGCGTGAACTCTTGCGTAACAATATTTTCCAACGCGCGCGCGCGCGTGCATGTCACGTTATCGTCACCGACATACACTTCTTTCCTTTCGTAGTAACTCGTTTTCATGCGTAAATGCCGTTATCTGCCGCTATTGCGGGACATGTGCGAGATTAATCGAATGAACATGCGCGCCAAGTCATCAATAAACGCGGATTCTTTTGCAAAAAAATACATGCAAACGACCTCCTACCCTTCTTCCAGATTCGAATCACTTTTAACGATGTCGCGTCGAGATCTCATAATGTCTGCTCTGAGTCGAGACGCGTGTACGGCTATTATCGCGTAAATTAGATTATGAGCTATCAGGTACAAAGTGCCGCAATTTCGTATCGATCGAGCTTTGCTCTTCGTTCTCCGAAACGACGGATGTCTCTGGGAGAGATTCATTTTTTTTTTCATAAGCGATAAATCCTTTATCATGCATTTTTTTCGTCCTCTCATTGGGAGGAAATGAATCATAGGAGAAATTTCTGAGAGGACCGGAAACTGACGCTGCGACGTATTTCTGTGAAGGAGGCTCAAAAGAATATAACAATTAACCATGCACGGAGAGAATTTTCTCTTAAAAATTATCCTGAAAATCGTGTAATCGTGGGACGACATGGCATCTCAGAAAATTTTATAAGAGTTTTTGGAAATTTTGCCGTACATTTTACTATAATAGTAAAATGTGTGGAAAAATTTAAAAAAACTCGCACAAAGTTGTTCAAAATGCCGTGTTGTCCCACGATTACATGATTTTCAGGGTAAATTTTAACAGAAAATTCTGTTCGTGTGAGAGTCAAATATAAACTAACAATTATATCACTAATTTAACAACTATACAACTGTAATACGTAGTTGTAATTGTGACCGCGTCAATGATAAGAAGAGACACAGCCCAGATAGCACACATAGTTTTATGAATATTCTTCTGGAGCACAAATATTCTTAATTTCAGAATATTCTATAAATATATATAGATTATTACAATTGGAAATCGTATATTCGTAACAAAGAAG